GGAGGTTCTGGAAGGATTGGACTATGGATGCGGAATGCTCAGTTAAGAGAAACAAACTTGACTCTACAGTCCCTGCAGAGAAGAGCCACTCAGTCAGAACAGCTCACCTGAGCAGAATGGGGCAGTGAGGGAAAGGATTAGAGGCAGCTCTGCCAGGGCAAAAGATCTCAGAGCAGGTATCTACTGACATGATTTTAAGCAGGACACCTGCTAGTCACTGTATCACCTTATGCAAGTCACTTTCACCTCTGAGATGAGTCTCTCATTTGTAAAACAAGAGGATGACCAAGGTCTATTTCCTAGTCTAATAGTGGTAGTAATTACATGACAATGAAAGCAGCAAGACAAGACTAACTACAAGTGCCCTTCCCCAACTCTAGGTAGCCAGTACCAACTTAAGAATGACCAAGTCTACATCCAAAGCTACAATACATCTAATGACACAGGAGACTTTCTAATGATGAAGAAGGCTGCAAGTGTTCCTGAAGTCTCGTGGGGGGGGGGGACCTGGAGTATAATGACTGCAGAATTCCAACAGGCCAGAGATTCAGAGGACTAAAGGGGCATGTGAGGTTCTCTGGGTCTCCTTCACCCTTCTTGGGGCACCTCTGCTTTCCTTTTATCAGCGGTGCATGCTGGGGCCCCTGCAAGGAAGTGCATCTGAGTAAGCATATCATGTGGTCAAGGGCAGGACTTAGGGGAAGTCACACTGGTTTACACCCTAGTTCTTCCACGGAGCAACTCTGTAAAACTCTCAGGTTCTCCTACAGAATAGGAATGCCAGTACTTTTATTAGGACAATGAATGGAATAACATACCAAGTTCTTAGCATTATACTGTACCCGGCTTTTGATAAGTGATACCTACATTTGCCATATTCTTAGCATGCAGAGATGCCCCCTCACTGTACCATCAAGGAAGAGAAGCACTGTTAAGAAAAAGGCCAGATACAGGCATAACTGGGTGTGGTGCCAAGGGTGAAACTTCTGCTAAGAGGACTAAGTGCACCATTTTAGATCCCAAAAGCTGGCATTTAAGGGTTCTGCCTTTTTCCATTTTCTTGGTTCCCTTGACCCCAAAGTCACATCCAACTCTTGGCATGCTATCTGATGAAACATAAAGGGGTCTGTCCTTTTGGGATGGTCCAGGCAGGACTTTGTGAGGCCACCCAAGAACTGAGGTGGGACCCAGAATACCTAATCCCTAGGTAAAGAGTGGCTGTCCCAGGAAGGAACCCTGCACTGTGGTCAGGGACTAAGTTTCTAGCTTAAAGAGGTGTGTGGAAGTCTTTTCAGTGTGTTCTCTTGAGGGAGATTCTGAAGCCCGTGGTAAGAGCAGTTCTCATCAAGAAAGAGATTACAAATTCAGAGATCTGGACCCCAGTCAAAGGCATCACTATCGAACCACATACTTCACCTGCTGAAAGCTATGTTACTAATGAAATGTGAAAAAGAACAAGACAAACAGGGTTGGCACAAATGTAATTGGAGCTCAAGAAACATTTACTAAATGAATGAGACTTGAACACCTGAAGAACAATTATATGCTTCAGATTAATATACCACAAAGGCAAATCTGAATTAAAATCTAAAATATGATTTGTGTTACTTAATATTTGTGTTACTGTTACAAACAATAAGTTATCCTATTAAAAAGTGTCTTCTTAGTTGGGTGGTAGTGGTGCATGTCTTTATTCCCAGGACTCAGGAGGCAGAAGCAGGTGGATCTCTGTGAGTTCAAAGACAGCCTGGTCTAGAGAACTACATGGAGAAACCCTGTTTCAGAAAAAGAAACAAACAAACAAGCAAACAAAAAGGGTGTCTTCTTATTAGCTAAAGCCTTAGTAATCCTTGGCTTGGTAGACCAGAAGTTACATTCCGTCACTAGTGGCTTATCCTTTCTCCCTGAGCTTTAGTTCAGTTCCCATCATTATGGGAATGACAACAACTGCCCTGATTATTCTCAGATAATGTAACAGGAGAATACACTGTCCATGTGACACCCACTTTAGGTCTCACTGTAAAGATGCCTATCTGCTTGTCGCTCTGTGCTAGCCACTGACACTCTTCCCACCAGGAATCTTCTGCCTATGCAAATCTCTGCAGTTCAGGGTCTAGCTCCCCACCCTACCCTTCCAACTAGCTCTTGCTCCTTTCCCTGTTCCTTTCCAACTGTCACTTAATTACTCTTCAGGAAGACAGAGACTCACAGGAGAGTGTTTAAAGCGCAGGCCGAACTTGCCCTAAGCCATATCAAAGATGAGGGTGATGATGGTGTTACAGATGTGCTGTGAAGGGTAAATTAGAACACTCACATAAAGAGCCTTGCATACTCCACTCAACCCTCCACTGTAGTCATTGCTGCACACTACACCTCACTGCTTCCAGAATTGTATTATCTCCACATCCCCTAAAAGACTGTAGTCCTCAGAGCAGAGTCCCTGTCCTATTCATTTCTGATCCCATTTACATTCCAGAAAGGGGCTCAGCTCACAGTTATTTCCTCACAGAAACACTTGTTGAGTTGATTAAATAAACTGTTTCCCTTCAAACAGTACTCAAATCTTCACTGTAGTTTCAGAAAGCTAGATTGAGAAAGCCAAAGTCCACAGGGTAAAGTTACCTCTTACAACCCTTAATCAAATCAAAAGCATATGAGTAATTCCCAAAGCACTTACACAGGCCATCATTCTAGGGAGATACTTTACCACGCTGTGTATGTCACATTAGTTAGCTGCCTAAATATTCCTAAGAAATAGATTTGATGTGGGAAGCTCTGCCAAACTCTAGGAGACTCTCTATTCCCAAGAAACATATTTGGATCTTATAGATGCAGAGTGGTACAGTGAATACAAGTCAGAATACTGAAAGTCCTACGTAAATCAAGTGGGCTTTACTTTTACAAGTATACACTTCTCAAGTATGAAAGTATCCAACTCTCCTAGCTCCACACCCTAGGTAATATTAGGGAATAAATCTATGTTTTAAGGAGAATAACATAAACCATAACATAGTCAACAACAAAATTCTTAATTTCAGATGCTATCTGGAGCTATTTCTTGCTCTAAAAATCATGTTTCCAAATCATCTGCACTTCATTTTAGGTGACCTGGATGGTCTTTGGGAAGCATATCTGATCTTCCCCAGAAGAGGTACTTATTCAAACTCTGAGCTGTTGCTGTCGAAAGCCTTCTACAAACCACTTTCAAGATGACTCCATGCCTGGCTCTTTTATCTTTGCTTCAGATAAGGAAGAAAGAACATTTGCCCTGTCCAAGAGCTTGCATTTTACTAAATCCCAAGTACAAGCAGCCTGCTCTTCTTCAACCTTTCTTCCAGCCTCACAAGTCATGACTACTCAACATCATCACTATTTTTCAAGCAACTAATAGGAAAGAGCTGCGAGGAGACCTTTGCTGCACAAGAACTAAATCCAGAACATGATGGTCCACTTACAGGAGAAACGTAAAATTTCTACCAGAAAGCAAATTCATCTTCTCAAATGGCTAAATCAAGTGGTCCCTAATGAATTCATCTGACCCAGGCTAGAGCTCTGAAGAGAGTCCACAGTGAGTCTCTTTCTGGGCCATAGTGCCTCACTTGATTTTGGTGTTCAGTGCTCACAACAGCCAATAGGTGCTAGGAGTGGTGCTGGTCTTGGGAATGTTCTCTGCCTTACTAGAAAGATCCAATCCGAGTGCCTATTATGATTGTTCTGGAAGGACTGCTATGTTTCCTGATGTCACCTTTGTGAGTGTTAACTTCTGCCTGGTCCGCCCTTTGCACCCTTTGCTCCCTTTCTCTTCCTTAGACCAAAACAGAGAGAAAACAGTATGCTCTCCAGCTGTCAAAATGTTTTCATCTTTAAAAAACCACTAATGGGGTCTACGCAGCAATCCAGCCACAGGCATCCCCATCCCTAGTCACTGGGTAGTCCTGGCCCTTGATCTCAAGCCCTCGTACCCTGACTTTGTCACATGTTCTGCCTCCTGGTTGTGCAGCACCTGGCCCTTACCCTACCTACTACCTGGGGTTGTAGAGCGTTCAGGATGGGCAAAGTTGAAATTAAATGTCACCATTTCCCCTGCACTTTGTCTTGTTAAGCACTTTGAGAGGAAACATCCTAGACAGTTTGATTTTTGCCTCAAAGGCTGCAGACACCAACTGTATAGGCAAGATTCTTCACATATATACTTTATGGCCATGCTACACCTGGCAAACAAGCTACCCTTTTGGCTACAGGCAACACCACTTGTCACCAGGGTTACTGGACGCTGCCCTTTGTCTGTCCCTGGGGTAGGAACACCTGGAAGGACAGTGATAGGTGACAGGCAGTGCTCTTCCCTCTGACCACAGGTATTAATGAGAAGGACGCAGCTAGAAACAAAAAGCTATTTGGTAATAACTGGCACTATCAGGAGGTGGTTAGGCGGACAATCATCACACTTTTATCCTCCTTACGCTTTTTGACTATAGATTTAATTTAATTTTGTCATGGCAGGATTAGCAACCAGGCCATAGAGGTGAAGGGACATTATAATAAGACAGCACATTAATCCTCTATCCCACCCAAGGCAGAAGCAAAACCAAACAAATAGCAGCTTCCTGGAAATTGAATTTCTGTTATCCAGATGTCAAAGATGTAATGCCCCAATTACACAAACTATTGCCAGTGAAGCATGCCAGCAAATATGCAATGTAAATGGGGTGAGCACCGAGCGACAAAACTGCGCAGTCAGCATCTGGCTCTGTGACTGAGTGATAATTAGCACTGTGTGTAGACACTAATAAACATTTATGTCTGAAATTACAACTTTTAGCAATGTTAATAAGGGATATATTGGCAATCTGTAAAATAAAAGGTCTTGAAAAGAATGTCATACATTAAGCAATGGCAGACACTTCCCGTTCTTCGCACAACCTCTCCCATTACCCTGCCCCGGAAATTGCAAATGGCCCCCATGCTGTTTCGATAAGAAATTAATTGACATAGGAACCTACCTAAAAAAACGGGTTGTGTCTCTTTGGTCTCCCCATTAACATCATTGCTGAATTCTGAGATCTTATACACATCATGGTGATAATCTGGCACAAGAAAATAACCGAAAATTAGAATTTTAATGATTTCAAGAAGGAGGAATAAACAATTCAAGACTCCCATTCTCTATATGTGTAACTTACAAGTATATTTTCAAGAACTCTCGCAGATATTGTAGTCAACAGAAACCACTCAAACTTTGCTCACTGTGAAGTACACAAACTTTAAACATTACTTTGACTTTACAGACAGCTATGCTTGGTTAGTCTTCACAGTAAATTTGGCCCTCTGATACCAATTACCAGGTTTTTTTTCTCTGAGACAGCAAAGATATTCGTAAGAAAAAGAAAAATCTTGTCAAATTGAAGGCCAGGGGAAATCTCTCAAATTTATTTCCACCACCCATTTTTGTGAGCATCTAACAAGTATTTTACCTCAGAACTGCCTCTTGACTCAGTTTACTCAGAGCATCTCGACTTCAAAGTAAGCACATTATTTTTTTCAAAAAGATATGGATGTGTTATTTCCAAGGGGGGATACTTTGAAAAGAAACAAGACTTTTACCTTTCACATAAGTGAATCTTTTGCATTCAATTACTGTACTTTATTGAACATGCAATAGTTTTATCCCCCCCCCAACTTTTCTGAAAAGCACCTGCACAGCAGAATCAAACTCATCACAAAAAAAAAAAAAAAAAAAAAAAAAAAAAAAAAAAAAAAAAAAAAGAAAAGAAAGATAGGGAGAAAGGAAAGAAAAGAAAAGAACATGTCATGTTAATCAGATTTTCAAATGCAATGTCTTAGAATCTCTGTGGAAGCCACAGAACTTTGGTAACTTTGAGAGGTCTCTTTCCATCAATTATCCAAGCTTTCACAGGTCAATGTGACAAAACTACCTTCTCTTTTAAGGCAGAGTAGTCATTTCTTTGAGGTCAAAGACAGAAAAGCAGCCCCCATTCCTGAATGAAACACAGTGTATGAACAGGGCCATTATACATGGAGAGATTTACGAAGTACAAAAATGGAGTAATCAACATCCTTGTTGGTGGGGTGGGGTGTACCAGGAAAGAGGAGCCAAATATTTTGAATACATACACTATTTCAGGCCTCTATCATTAAACAGTACAAAACTAAATTAGGGGAAACACAGATGAGCAGATCCTCAAAATGTCTATAATTAAACCATTTCCAGACTAACCAAAAGCGGGCTTTCTAGAATCCTCCTTTCAGCTTAGCTGAGTTTGAAAACTTGATGGCTTGAAATCACCCTCCAATGTCCATCTGTTTACATGTGATTTCTCAGGTCCTTGGAACAATACTGTGGCTCTCTACTCTGATGCCAATGATAGATAAAAATCACTCATGGAAAGTGGACAGGTTCTGTGATTTGGCTTTGGCCTCAAGTTGATTCAAAGATACTTAAGAGTGTAGGTTGAAACCAAGAATTATGACCCGTGCCATTACCGTGAGGGTGGGGGGAGTGTCACCCCTTTCATTTATTAAAGTGACACAAGACATTTTGACAAGTGTATTCCTTATCTTGAGTTGTCACCATTTTTTTTTTTTTTTTAAATGACTCAAATCAGGAAGATTGGTTCAAACAAGTAACAAAACCCAGAGGAAACACTATTCAACTTTCTCCTCCCCGGACAAAATAAAAGCATAGAGTGTGCTGTACACCTGTTAGTCGGCAGGATCTAACTGGAATTTTTTTCCCTTTCTTTCTTGTAATGACACTTTGTCTGACTGGTAGGCGATCTAGTCTGAAAACACCTTTCCACCCAAAGCACTCAACTAGAAAAGATGCTGTATGTCAACAATTTCTGTTTTGAGCTTGGATCCCTAATGAGCTGATTCTTCTTTAAAAGAACAATGATCATCTATTTTCCCTCTCTCTCTTCTCTTTGCGGGATGGGGGAAAAAATAGAAAACAAAAACAAATCCCAGTATATGCTCGGCCTGCCAGCCAGGCAAACCCTCAGCCACCCCAGCCCAGCGGCGGCCGCGGTGGCGGCACCCCCGAGCGGGCTCGGCTCCCCGGTGTCATTGTTTGCTAATTTCCTGACGTGCCCTCCGACTTGTTTACCTTCAATAACACCCCGTGGGTCCCCTCAGGCACAACTTTCCCGGCTCCGGGGCGTGTGCGGCCCGCGGGGCCCCGGGTTCGGGCGGGGACGAGGGGGTCGTGGCGGGCGCGCCCCCGGCGTGGAGCCCGCGGGCGGCCGGGGCGCGCGGGGCCGAGTGCGCGGAGCGCGGCGCCGGCTTCCCGCCGCTGTCCCCGGGCCGGCCGCTTACCTCGGCTCACCAGTTTGAAGCTCTGGGATTTCCTGCTTCTTTTCCTCTCGGAGAACTCCATGGTGCGGGCAAGGTGGCGGCGCGGCAGGAGACTGAGGCGGCGGCTGAGGCGGGCTCGTGGCACCACCGCGGAGCCGCCGGGACCAAGGTCCGCGTCTCGATCGGCGGGGGAGGCCGAGGGACGGGAGGAACCACCGCGAGCCCGGCCGGGGGCTGCGGGAACGAGCTCCCGGGTGAAGTTGTGCCCTCGCGCGGCGCCGCCTTCTCGGTGTCTTAGGCGCCCCTTCGGTGCCCCCTCATGCCGCCTCGCTCTTTCCCGAACGCCGCCCGCCGCAGCCCAACTTTCCGCTGGGAGCGGGGCCGGGCGGGGGCGCGGAGCTGCGGGGTGCTCGCCGCGGCCCGCCTGGGCTCAGCCTGCGGACGCGGCCGGGGGGACGCAGCGAGCCGAGGGAGGGCGGCGGCGGCGGGTGCGGAGCGGCGGCCGGGGCGCTGACCGCCCCCGCGGGAGGAGGGGCCGCGCCGGCGGAGGGGGCGGCGCCGCCGGGACCCCGGGGCCACCTGCTGGCGGAGCCCGGCCGCCGCCATCCCCCGGGGGGCCGCCGCCACCGCTGGCCTCGGCCGCACCGCGCCCCAACGAGGCACGGAGGCCGCGGCGCAGCGTCCGTAGCGGCTCGGGCCCACGGAGCTGTCCCCAGGCGGACGCTGCGCTCTGCGGGGCCTCCCTCCGCCACTCCGGGAGGCGAGCTCGCCTTTAGAAATAAGCCAGGGATCCCGGTTCCTCAGCAGCCAGGCTTTGCTCTGTCTGAGAGCCGGGCGGTGCCAGAGTCAGACACCGATTTTAGGCAACTTTTAGCAGGGGGTGAAGAACTTACCCATCCGCGTTCTGCAAGTGAACGGGAAAAGATCTGAGAACGTGCTACTGAGAAGACTATGGGAAAGAGTGAAGTTCAATTCTTTACCCCCATCCTGGGGGCTGCAGGAGGAAGTTATAGGCAAGGGGTCTGCTTGGAATGGGGCTTGGGGGAGGGGAGTGCAAGGGGTGAGAAATACAAGAGGGGCAGGCTTTTAGGGAAACAGTGGTCATACATAGCAGGTGCAGGGGACCCTGCCACTTGACGCATAAATACCAAGATAATTGACGTCCACAGATGGCCATTGGTAGTTTTATGTGATATTCTTTGAGGAGCTAAGAGTACACTCACTGTCGGCGCCATTTCTTGCAACATGTTTTAAGCGGGAATGGGAAAGATCTTTATATCATCTGGGAATGCTAGTGCGGGAACATGATCTGACACGCTGAAAAGTACTGCCTCCAAATCTATGGTTTCTAGACCAAAGTACAAAGGGAATAAAGGGATGGGTTGCTGCTGCAGCACCTTAAGGTCAGGTTGCTCTGAAAAGGAGAGGAGACGTGGGGGATGGGGGGAATTGTCTTAGCTCTCTTTTGAATTTTAAGAGGTGGTAAAGGGTTTATTAATATGATGATGATTTAGGCAATTGTACCACATAGTTCTTCCCCCACCACCTCCCTTTGAAACCAGGATTTTAAAAACCTGAAGATGTCTGGGATGTGTTTAAACTATGAAAACATTCTACACTCATTCTGAGACCCAGGTGTGTGTGTGTGTGTGTGTGTGTGTGTGTGTGTGTGTATGTGTGTGTGTGTGTTCGTTCCCTTGTCAAATGTTATTCCAGTAGCCCCAAGGCTGAGTACTGTGGCTGGTTGAGTAATGCTAAGTATTGTTCATGCCTTGGGGTATTAACTAAGATTTTATTGTGCTTAAACTGTAAAGAAATCACTGAAAGTGTCATCCCAGGAAGCAAATCCCTAAGGAAGATATTAACACATTATCAACTTTAAGTACAGGTAAGAACGTGAATTCTATCTATTGAAGGGAATATTCTTATATAAAATTCTGGCACTATTTTAATATCTAAAACTAATAGTAACTTATTGCTTGGCCCTCAAACTCTCCAAAGATGGTCGATGTGCAAAGGACATAAAACAGCCTGGCATATTAAATTTTAGGAAAAAAAAATCAACAGATTGTATTTACTTTCTACTTGGGACAAACCACTGTGGCTTTATCTAACAAATGTATAGATCTACAGTTAGTATTAAGTAATATTAAACTGAGATTGCCTTGAGTGGGTAGGTATCTATAATAGTCTGCTTTAATTAATTTAATAAAATACCACAGACTGCCTGAATTAAAAAAGAAATTTATTTTATAACACTGAGAGGATTCCAAGGAGTCCAAGATCAAGGTTGGATACAGCGTGTAACAAGCTTTCTTGTCAGACTATCTTTGGGAGCACCAACTGGACAATAATGATATAGAGACTTCTCATTAATTATGAAAATTTAGCCTTTAGCTAATAGTTGTTTCTAACTAGCTCTTATAACTAAATTAACCCATTTATATTAATCTACATTCTATCATGTGGCATTAAGCATTACCTCTCTTCCATCTTGCACCTCCTGTTTCCTCTCCCTGTCTCTTGGCTTCTCCTTCATGCCTAGATACCTACTCTTCTTCCTTTCTCTCCCTAGAAACCCCACCTATACCTGCCTAGCTTTTTATTACACCAATCACAGCAGCACATCCCACAACAACTGTGTTTCTGGGAAGGGCTTTTTTCCTTCCTTGTAAATTGCTGCCTTTTTGCTGTATGTTCTCAACTGGTAGTCAAGTCTCCCTTTTATTTAAATATATGTTTTAGACTTATTATTTATATTATTATTATAATAAATGTTTTGCCTGGATGTATGTTGTGTATGCTTCGCAGAGGTCAGAAGAGGGCCTTAGATTACCCGGAACAGGGGATGGATGGCTGTGAACTTCCATGTGTGTGCTGGGAGTCAAACTTGGGTCCTCTGCAAGAGCAACAAGTGCTCTTACTTGCTAAGCCAGTTCTCCAGCCCTTTCTTTCTGCATTAAGAGGCCACAAAATCTATTAGATTAGAACCCTGGCCTTTTAACTTCTTTTAATCTTAATTATCATTAGTTAAAGGCACCCATTTCCATATCCAGTCATATTAGAGGTTGGGGCTTCAACACACGGATTTTGAGGGTCAGTAGTGTTGATTTTGTTTGAATGTGATGTGTGGGCTGAGGTATCCTGGCAAACCCTTTGGATCTAGTAAGGTCATTGCTGTGCTCAGTACTTATAGGTTCCCAGGAACTTCAGAACTACAGGTTTACATGTAACTTGGAGCTTGGGGAAGACTGGGCAAATATTCCATGACATCATGCAGGCCAAACATCTCATTATGTGACCATTCCAAAAGCCAGTTGTTTATAAAGATTAAGCATAGGCTTTAATTTTGACAAAGACAGGTAATTTTGTCAGATAACACTAAATAACCATAACATAAATTCTTAAAATTCTCTGAAAACTCTGTCCTAAGAAAAATAAAGAGCATTATGAAAATTTCAATCTTTATTTAGAGTCTTCTTGTCCAAGAGACATATACACAAACCATATATGTAATTTGGATTTTTGTATTTACTACATTAAAAGATAATTAAGTTAAATTCATTACATTAGTACATTTTATTTAATAGAAACCATTAAACTATTATCACTTTGATACATAATCAGTAGTAGGATGCTCTTGAGATGTTCTATATTCTTTTTGTAGAAAATTTTGAAACTGATGTGTAAGGTGTATTTAATACTTGGAGAACAAATCAATTCAAATGATCTAAACTTCTAGTGCTTGATAGCTTCATGCCATCGGTGGCTGCCCTACCTAACAGTTTACAATGAGAGGAACCACAAGACTTGAACCGGCTGTGTATATCAATGTGACTACAACATGGTTAACCTTTCAACTGTTACATTAACCCTCAAACAGTAAGAAATGAGGGAAACAGCATCATCAAGCTTGAGCTATTCATATCCTTGGATTTGTCTGGAACTGAAAATATAGTTCCTAAATAGGTTCCTTGTATCAATCTTTGCTTTTCAGTTTTATGACAGATATTCCTCCTACAGTTATAGACAGAAAAGATAGCTCTACTGTGCCCCATATTTCTTAGTTTATTCTTGGCCTCATGCAAGTTCACATTCTAGTTTACTGTTAGTGATGGTAATTTAAAATAATGGAGGAAGTATTTATAAGAGATTATATCCGTGAAGTGGGATTTGGGGAATTTTGTTTAAAAGTGTTACCTGATGCTTATGTCCCTTTAGTAAATCAATATATTTATATTGGATGTAATTCTCTTAATCACTCTCCAAGTATGCTGCATATTAATATCATATTTGCAACTGAAGAAAATCCATTTTCATAAGACCATTTTTTTTTTGTTGGTGATATTAGGATGACAGTGATGGTTAGCCTATCATTGTCCTATTTCTTTAAAATAAAGTTTTCTGTTCTTTTTTTTTTTTAATCTAAATTAAATATAGTAAAGAACACAAATCGTATGTGGACACGTCATTTTATTTTACTAATATAAATATCGGTGTACCCACCACCCTAATGAAGACATGGAACTTCCTAGACATACAAACAAGCTCCCCTGAGACCCTTCTCAGGAAACCACACCCGCAACCTAGGAAACCACAATTCTAACTTTTGTCGCCATATCTTGGATATGCCTACTGATGAACTTTAAGCTTGTGAAATCATATATTACATACTGTTTTGATTTTGCTGCTTCTGTTGAACATGTCCCCGAGATTTACTTATCTTGTGAATATTATTGGTAATTTATTTCTTTGCTTTGATGTACATTGCTTTATTAGAGACTAGCACTTTAAAGAAACCATTCTATTATTGATGGATAATATTCATTTTTACCATGTCTTTTGGTGCATGTAAATATACTTTAGCTTATGTATATATGAATAGAGTTGCTGAACTATAATATATGCATATTTTAGAATTAATAAATTTCAGTTTTCCTAAGTAGATTTTTTTTTAAGTTGGCATTTCCACTAACATTGTATAAGAGTTCTAGTTATTCTGTGTCTTTGCCAGCACTTAGTACTATTAGAACTCTTTATTTTAGTTGTAGGGAGATAATGATACATTGTCTTGTTGGGGTATTCATTTACATTCCCCAATAATTAACCAGTGATGTTGAGCACATTTTCATATTTTTATTGGTAAGGCTGGCAGCATCTTTCTCTCTCTCTCTCTCTCTCTCTCTCTCTCTCTCTCTCTCTCTCTCTCTCTTTGTATGTGTGTGTGTGTGTTGGGCTGTTTTTATTAATTTGAAAGAGTTCTTTCTATATTCTGGATAAAAATCTTGCAGAATGTATTACAAATGGCCTCACCAAATCTGTATCTTATATTTTTATTCTTAATGTTCTTAACTTGAATAAAGTTGAGTTTTTAAGTTTTATGGCATACATATTAAGATATTATCTTACAGGGCCGGAGAGATGGCTTGGCACTTAAGAACATTGGCTGCTCTTCCAGAGGACCCAGGTTCAATTCCCAGCACCCAT